CATCCCGAAATAGACTTGGCCACCAAAAACCGCTTTCAAGTATCTTCATTGTCGTTCGTTTCGGACCGAAATGTCCTCCACAAGCATAAGAGTGACAAAACTCTATGATGTGGGCTATCTCATATTCAGGGATGCATCTTCGGATTATTTGATCCTTACAATGTTTCCACAAATATGGGTCATCCCACACATAGAGTCTTGAATCCATTCTTAATTTTTCTTTTTGAGATTTTGTGAGTTGTGGAGGAAATTTGCCGGAAACGAGGAAGTTCACGATATTTGCGTACCATGGTTGTGTGGCTTTGATGGAGAAGAGAGTTTCGTCCGGGGATTCGCCTTTGATGAGATTTGTGTGGAGGTCTTCGATGTCTTTGTGAGGAATGAGGCAGCTTAAATGATCGGCCACCAAGTTCCCCGCTCCTTTCTTGTCTTTAATTTCCATATCAAACTCACTCAATAGAAGGACCCATCGAATGAGTCTTGGTTTAGCTTCTTTCTTTGTCATAAGGAATCGGAGAGCGGCATGGTCGGTGTAGATAATAACTTTCGTTCCAAGAAGGTAGGAACGAAATTTTTCCAAAGCAAAAACTACCGCTAGCATTTCCTTCTCGGTGGTGGAATAGTTCTTTTGGGCTTCGTTGAGGGTTGAGGAGGCGTAGTAGATGACATGAGAAGCTCTTCCGACCTTTTGGCTTAAAATAGCCCCCACATGAGAAGCTCTTTTAAAAACTTTGCAAACCTAGGAACACCTTTTATTAAATTGAGAAGAGGGATATTTACCTCACATTTGCTGAAGGTCTCATAGATGTCTTTGTCATTGTTGTATTTTCGGTTATCCTTGAGAGCCTCCGGAAAAGGTGGCACCGGCTCATATGAGTCGAGTGGTGGGAACTTTCTTTGAGGTGTGATCTCCTCCTCTTTTTCCTCTTCATTTTGAGGGTTTGTGCTTGGCATCAAGATCTCCTCCTCCTCTTCTCCCACATGGCTCTTTACTTTTGCCTTAGCCATAACCAATTCTTTGCCACTTCTCAAAGTGACCGCATGAGCTTGTTGCCTTGGATTCGGCTCCGTTTGAGATGGGAGTTTTGCCGAATCCCTAGATTCTAGCCTACTCATGGCATTTGAGATTTGGATCATTTGGCTTTCCAAGTTGTGGATGCTAGACTTTGTTGTTTCTTGAAATTTGGCCACACTTTGTTGCATCGTAGTCATATTCATGGCTAGTGCTCGAATCATGTCTTCGGTGGACATGTTTGAGTTCGATGTTTGGCCTTGTTGTTTATATTGTTGAGGAGGAGGGTTTTATTGTTGAGGGGGTTGAGAGTTTCCGTACCTTAGATTTGGATGGTCCCTCCATCCTGGATTGTAGGTGTTGCCGTGAGGATCGTACCTCCTTTGGCCTTGGAACCCCAAAGCATTGACTTGCTCGGAGTTCTCCTCTTGTAGAGTTGGGCAAGAGTCTGTGGGATGCCCTTGTGTTGAACAGATGCCGCAGACCTTGACTTCTTGGGTTTTTGGATTTAGGAGGAAATCTTTAACCAAAGAAGTCAAGCCGGCTACTTGACTCTCCAACGAGTTGTTGGATTCCGCCGCCATGACTCTCTTTGTTGACCGCCGATCATAGTGTCTACAATTTTCGGCCAACTCCGAGATACGATTCCTAGCTTGAGAAGGAGTTTTGTTGACTATTCCTCCTCCACATGCATCATTGATCATCCGTCTATCATCATCGCAAAGACCATCATAAAAGTAAAGGATGAGGTCTTGCTCCGAGTAGCCGTGATACGGGCAGCTCGCACAGAGTTTCTTGAATCGTTCCCAGAATTCGTAGAACGATTCATCATCTTTTTGCTCCACATTGCTGATTTGTTTCTTTAGAGATGAGGAGATTGAGGCGGGATAATACCTTTCGAGGAAGCTCTTCTTCATGGCCGCCCAAATCTCTATGCTTCCCGAGGGAAGATAGAATAGCCAATCTTTGGCGGTGTCTTTGAGGGAGAATGGGAAAGCCCTCAACTTAATTTGCTCCTCGGTAACACCGTTCGGGCACATGCTTGTGCAAACGATGTGGAACTCCGAAAGATGTTTATTCGGATCCTCTCCTCTTAGCCCGTGGAAAGATGGAAGTAGATGTATGAGTCCGGATTTTAACTCAAATGTAGCACCCGCATCAAGAGTTGGGAAGGTGATACATAAGGGTTGTTGGTTTAGATTGGGAGCTGTGAGCTCCCTCAGCGTTCTTGTTTCAAGAGCCATTGATATTGGCTCCTCGGACTCGCTAGATTGAGAACTAGCACTTGAGGATTCCCCCGAGTCGGTACTTGAGAATTTACTTTTTAACCGCTCGAGAGCTTTTTCTATTTCGGGGTTTGTTTGGTAGGTGAGTTGGTTTATGGATCGGGTTTTTACCATATACTCAAACAAAGCTCAGCAAAATAGAAAACATTATATATAATAATTTTTTTTTATTGAAATAAAGTAAAAAGAAAAAATATTTGCCTTTCCCCGGCAATGGCGCCAAATTTGACGAGCACTTTGTCATGGTGCGTCAAAATAAATTCAATACTAACACTTATACGTAGTATAGCGTAGTAGAGTTCGTATCCACAGGGAAAGGAATAATTCTCTTTTTATGAGACTAGTAATTAAAAAGGGGGGTTTTGGTTTTGAATGATTTAATTTAATTAAGAAACTAAGATGAACAACCTATATGTGTTTAATTCAAGAGTAAAAGGGACTTGGCTTTGCTACTTTCCACTTGTTGATATATTTTAGTCGATCCTTGTTATATCTATAACTTATCCCCTCTCGAATACTCAATCGAGGAGTATTTCCAATTCATCGAGGGTAGTTATTAACAACGACCGTTCATTAATAACCCTTACTATTAATCAAATATAGAACAACGCCGTATACCGATAAAATAGTAGCATTCAATCTTTTTAACTCCTTGATGAAATCAATTGGGATTGATAATCTTAACACAACGGTTTCGGTTTAACCAACAAAATTGATCCTTCTTAAGTCTATTAACCACGATCATGCATTAATAAACCGAAGTTACTTACTTGTGAATTAAAGAAAAACAAGAAATGAGATGAAGCAGAATAAGCCAAAGCTCGTGCTACGCACGATTTCCTTAAAACGTATTCGTTGCCTCCCGGGGTGCTAGGAGCGTTACAACGATCGTTTCCCAGGATACGATGACTTCGAACAATAGTTTAGCACTCAAATTAAAGTTCCAACGAACGTGAACAAAAGCAGAACACCGAAGGAGTTTGTATGGAGTGCTAGAGGTGCTGTTTTAGCTATGAAAATACGTGAACGAAGTGTATGAAAGGTTGTCTCTTTGCAAAGCACCTACTAGCCTTTTATATGAGTGGATTAAGGTGTGTTAATGGTTGTTTAAGGGTTATGATCGTTGGACATCATAACCATTAAAGTTCTGTGTATTTTTTTTTAGATTTATTCTTTGTACCGGTCAAGTTCGGCCCTGACTCCGTACCTGTTTAAGAATGTTGTAGATAGTATGTAATGATATTATTTAGTAATCTGGAAGAACGTATATGGGAGTGGGGTATATACGAATCATGAAGTGAAGTGGTACAGTACGTAGTTTGCCTAAATGCGCAATTAGCTGCGCGCACAAAACTACAAAAAGATCGTGACGCATAATAAGTTGATTGTTGGCATGCAAGAGATCGAATTGGATCCATTTTCATTTAATAGGCGCGCCTTTTGGTCGACATCTATGTTTGCTGACTTTGACGGAGATCGCGACATATAATATTTTGCTAACTTTGTAGTTAAATTCGGGAAGTCTGCGTTTTCATTTCACTCCATCGTGATTTTGTTTTGCTTTTTCATAATAATAAAAAAATAAGTTATCCCATCCCTAAGCGTCTCGATAGTTAAGTGATAGGATGCAATTAGACTTTTATATAATACTTGGAGGGGCTCAGTACACTTTTATATACGGAGTAATAACTTCCTAGCGCAATAATCAAGATTCAAATCCAAAACTTACTCTGCAATAGACTATTTTGTCTTTTCATGTATAGCTTGTAAGTAGTACTAATTAATTATATCCTCTTGTTATATAGGAGAAAGTTCACATAAAGAGACAGTTTCTCATGTGTGTATGGGTGGATATGATACAAAGTGATTTTATTATGCAATAATTTGTATGATGCATTTTTATGTTATTTGTATTGCATTTTGATGTTCATATATTGGTACAAAGTGATCTTATTGTGCAACAAATTGTATAATACATTTTTACGCTATTGTATTGCATATTGATACTGCATGTTGCGCATTATTCTGCGATGAAAACACGATTGCATACTAACATTCAAAGTGTTACATCCGAAAAAGTGTGATTTTATTATCAAAATGTCATCGTGGGAGATAAGTTTGTATTTTGTAAATTAGGAACACTTTGTATATGGTATTTGATCCTTCATCTATGTATATCTATGTTTCATCCATTCTTAAATAAATATAGTAAAGATCTTATTTTTCACTTTGTATATGGTATTTCACGTTGATTTATTAATGCACAAGATGTAATTTTTCTTAAACTTTTACTAATAAAAAACTATATATGTGAATGGTGAAAATTATGCATTGCTCAATATGAAAAGTAGAATATTACACTTATTTAAGAAGCGGAAAAATATAAGAGAAGATGAAGTAAGTGTACGTTGGCGACGTTTGAAGGCAGGCGGACAGATCCGATTCGATCCCATCCAATTGGATCAAATACTGAAATTAAAGATGGAGTAAATCCGAGCTAAGAAGATGGGGCCCATGAGTGATTTAGGAAAATGTGGGGACAGTATCGCAATTCAAACTTCTAATCAACATTTATGAAAACAAACAAAAAAATCAATGAATGGAATAGTGAAATAGACCAGCTCGCTCCCCTCGCATAAAACCCGGCCACTCTCCTCTGTCCATCAATGTAGAATTACTTTTTAGCTAAGCTTGCTGGGGTTCTCCAATTCTGAGCTGAGATCTCTCTTTCATGAGTCTTTGAGACTTTATTTGTGTTGAGTGAGCTACATCGATAGGCCGCTAATATATATACGTAGTACTTCGTATTTATTTATAAAAGCCACGCACATATATATATATATATTGATATATACACTTACCTATATATAAATTAATTAAATCCATCTCCGGCCATGTCTGAAGAGCTTAGAGATTTGTTCTACCACCACCCATTCCAAGATGATCAGCGCCCCCTCGGCTTTCTTTACTCATCCACGCCGGCGGCTTCACACAGATCGCCGGCACATGATGGCTTTCTCGATCACTCCTCATACATGACGACCGCGGCCACCTTCAATGACGACGACACTTTCAATGCCGACGATCCCGCCGACGTCTTCTTCTCCTCGCTCCAAGAGGATCACCATAAGCAGCAGGCCACCACGCCCGCCTCCACCTTCCTCATGAACGTCGTCATGGCTGGAGACCCGACCAACACTCACACCCCCCCGCTCACCCCAAACACTTCCATCTCTTCCTCCTCCACCGAAGCCGGCGCCGCCGATGACCATTCCACCAAGCTTCTGCCCAATAACATCTTCACAGATAATACTAATAATAATAATAACAAGAATATTCACCATAACCAAGTTTGCAGGGGCAGTGCTTCAGAAGATGGAGATGATGCTGATGATAAGAAAGAGTACGTACTATTCCATCTCCTCTACCTTCGTACACACGTACTGTTCAGTTCAGTGCTTTTTTATAACTACACATTTAAAGAGTGATAAATAAATATAATAAAATTTAAACATATAAACCTACAATTTAGAGTCACATCTTTAGTCTGACTGGAAATTAAGTTAACTCTATTTTTGTTCCAATCGCTGGATTATCAAATTTTTCAAAAATCTTCAGTGCTTAATTATTATTTTTATGATAAGTTAGTTTTAACCACGCGTTAGATATGTGTTACAGAAGAAAAAGTGAAATCAAAGTGTCAACCGTTGAACAAAATTAGGATCTAATAGTTGAGAAGTAATTGTTGTTGGTTCAAATGAATAAAAAAATTCACTTTTGGCCAAAAATAGAATTGCCTCACGGGATTCCCATCAAGCATGAACACTAGTAAATATGAGCACTATGTCTAATTAGTTATAATTATTATCAAGTTTGAAAAATATACTATTTTAATTAAATTGTTTTTATCCCAATTCTAGGAAGTTTCCCTTTTTCATATTCACAACCTTTTAACTTATTCATTAAACATTGTGAATTGAAAAGAGAAAATTCATCTAATAGGAGTAAAAAGTTGCATAATAAGACCCGTTCATTCATACTGTAGCTAGCTAGAAAGTTTTTTATGTTTTATACATGTAATAATACTGTATGAATTAAAAGAGTCTGCTTGTTTTGAGAGAAAAACACATTGAATTCTATATATTTTGAAACTTTGTCCACATGTTTCATTGAACAATTTCCCCCCTAATCAGAAAATGAAAGCTGCTTAATTATGGACAGAAAAAAAAATGATCAACCGCATATATATTTAATTTGTAACAAACCCAAAAATCCAAGGAAAATATGAAAATTGTTTTATAATGAGGCACAGCTGATCATCAGATGGTTGCGATTGTACTATACGTTAATTGATTTTTGGTTAACAATATGGATCGGATGATTTGTAGGTAGCTAGTAATATATTTCATGTAGCTAACGACGCTACACATATATACTTTCGATCAGGAATAGGACTAACAAGGGAAAGAAGAAGGCGGAGAAGAAGCAACGACAGCCGCGAATCGCTTTCATGACGAAGAGTGAAGTTGATCATCTGGAAGATGGATACAGATGGAGAAAATATGGGCAGAAGGCTGTCAAGAATAGCCCTTATCCAAGGTACGTATAGTAATAGTACGCCCCTCCGTCCGCAGTAATTACTTGATCAAATTGATGGATGGCATGCATAAATAATAGGAGAATTTTAAAATTCCAAAATAAGATTATCATGTTTTTTATTCTCTGAATAAGAGTAAATTTCTGCCAAGTTTGGCATTACTGGGCTTTAAACATGACATTTTTTCCCAAACTTAGCAGAATTACTGCTGTTTAGAGAATAAAAACATAAAAGTCCTATTTTGGAATTTTTAAAACGTTTTTACTCCTGTTGAGCGCAATTTCTATAAATAATAATTAACTGATTTAGAAAATATGTGTGTGCGCGCGCAGAAGCTATTACAGGTGCACGAGTCAAAAATGCCCGGTGAAGAAACGAGTGGAGAGATCGTACCAAGACCCCACCGTTGTAGTGACGACGTACGAGGGGCAGCACAACCACCACATCCCCACCAACCTCCGGGGAAGCTTCGCCGCCGGGATGCTCACCCCGTCAATGCTAACTCAGGCCACGCCCACGGCCTTCCCACATCATGACCTCATGCTTCAACACTACGGCAGCAGCAATCACTACTTCCGCAGCGGCAGCCTCCACCATCATGCCGCCGCCGCGCCAAATAACCCTTACTTTGGGACTGCCGCAGCTAATAGTAATAATAATGGTAATGCGGCGGCGGCGGCGGCATTCTTATCCGCTAATCCCAATCCTAATGCCTCCTCCCTCCTTAATTACCATCAACAACATCTAACTACTCATCCTCACTTCCACCTCCAGCCTTCTGACTATGGCTTGCTTCAAGATATGCTTCCTTCTTCTATCTTCTTTAAGCCCGAGCCCTGATCTGATCTTGATGACCCACCCAGGCCACCTACTTTTAATCCTCAGCTCCCCGGCCATCTAATGTTAGTCATCATCATTAATTCTTTTCTAATTTTTAATTAGGGATCGCCCGCCCGCCCGCCCGCATCAGTGACTTCGTTCGATCTATTGATCAATTCCTGGCCCGGCCCCGGCCCGCCCTTTTTTCTTATTGTTACTCGTATTACTGTATTATTTTAAATTTCTTCTTTTTCTTTGATTAGTTGGTGTTACAGTACGTATGTATGACAAATACACTCACAATTCCTTCAATTTTGCTCAAGAGCTTGCTAGCTAAGCTAGCTAGCTAGCTAGTACGTTGCAATGGGAATATATATGTATGTATCCATGATCCATCCTAGCTAGCTCGATATATGTTTAATTTTTGAATTGAATGTCATGATTACCAGGCCGGCCACTTATATATATATGCATGTTACATACCTTCTATTTTTTCATTGAAAAAATGCATTATCCAACTAGCTTCTAATGTGTAGCGTAGTAGCTACATACTCGGTATGAGAGTTACTGCATGTACAATTTGAGAGATTTTTTAGGATTGATATATAGATACAGTCCATGGATATTAATTAATTGAAATCTATTGATTCTATCATATTGTAAGAGATCGAACTCTATGAGAATCCGTACATCTGCTCGGATTCTCATAAGAATGTTGTGTTTTTTACCATAGAAATCCATACATGCCAAGTCCACATAAATTCACACTCACCTAATGGAATTCCCAAAATTCTAAATTGAGTAAATACACATGGAATTCAGCTTAATTTTGAAATCCGGTTCTGAAACTACATATTGATTATTGAGAACCCCCGGCCCCTTTGGTTTTACTTTTCTAAATGTCCGCATGTAATCGTTATTAACTGCTACTCCCTCATTCCCGCTAACAATGGAACAAGAAGGAGTGACATGTGAATCAATAAAAAATGGTTTATGTGGTTGATATTGAATTGATAAAATAAAAATAAAGTAAGAATGATTTAGAACCACACAAAATTTACCAAATTTGGTATGAGACAATCTTAGTGGGACGGACCGATAAAGTAAAATGGGACAATCATAGCAGGACGGGGTAGCAGTATTTAAAATGTACATTAACGCCTAACGGTAAAAGAAACTAAATTATACATACATAAATATAAGCATTTCCGTCAATTATCTCCAAAAATCAATTTTTTGTGATTATTTATCCCAACATAATTAACTTTTTCATAATTTCAAAAAAAAATATGACTCTAAAGTCTAAACTATATATCCTGATGTGGACAAGGTGTCTCAAGTTTATCACAAAGTTCACACTTTACTCGCCAATCATTGGGGAAAACATTATGTAAGATGCATCTCAAAAGATTAACTAAAACGAAAATTATAAGACACTCTAAATAACTAAAAGTGAATCAAGTTGTTTAGAACACAAAATTTAATTTCAGCGGTCTTCAATGAATGGTTTGGGAATAAATCCTCTTTTCAAAAACATTATTCCTTTCTTTATTTTTTAATCAAAATTTGTAAATCAAAATGATTTTTTCAAATGTGTTTCCTTTTAATATTCGATCATTTGTGCAAAGAAAAATATTTTTCGTCCAACTTATTTAATATTCAAAAGTATGTGCCAAAAGGAAAGTTATTAATTAAAATGAGCAGTACTTTCCTAGTTCTAGGACTATACTTCTTGGCACTATAGGTATGTCATCAATAAAACAATATACCTTGTTCCAAAAAATCCTTTTTTATAACAAAGATGCATGTGGATATATACCTACAATTTGATGATAAACACAGAGCATGCACAAAGTGTATGGTCAAATAAAAACATACTCCCTCCGTTTCATTGAACGTTGTCGATTTTTCCTTTATGGTTGTTCTTAGCAAACTTTTCTACTTTTCAATTAAAACAACTAATCGGAGCCGCAAGAAATAGAGACTATGCGCAGAAAATAGAGACTATTTCCTACTCCCTCTGTCCCTTAAAATTTTGCCAAGTTTGACTGCACGAGGAATAATAGAGTAAAAACTGTGTGGTTGAGGTTTGTACAGATGAGAGAGAATTAACTAAATTCACAAATTCTTTACTTAAAAGGGAAAATGCCAAAGTGACTGGGACAATCAAAAAAGGAAAATTGAATTGACAGAGTTTTAAGAGACGGAGGAAGTATTTTCAATTTACTTTTAATACTTAATTGTTGCGGTCTTTCATGAGCCGCAGCAAATTTCAGCACATTTGATTCGGGTGTTAAGAAAGTACAACTAAAGGTTGAACTTTTGGAATCAATTGTTGCGGCTATTATTTAACCCCAACAAATAAATTGGAAGTGTCTGTAAATAGGTAAAAATGACCGCAACAAATAGCTATTATTCTAGTAGTGCCTACACATACAGAGAGAATTAATATAGGCACACAACACCAGTGTTAGTAATAACCCAAAGATAGGGGGAGGTTGGTGTAGCTCAATAGGTGAACACTCACCCCCATGTCCCTCCTTAGTGAGATGCCTTGAATTCAAGTGTCACCTAGGGAAGATGAGGGAGGGTTTGCTCTCCCATGATTCTTTTAATCTTCATGGAGCAGCTCAGCGACTGAGGAGGGAGATGATTATAATGGAGGTAGAGGGCTCGTGTAGTTGGAGCACCAGCTTGGAAGAGGCATGTGGCCGGTGTAAGTCTTGTTTGAATCTTCCTTTGAAGCCAATACTGACAAGAGTGATTGTGACTAGATCCATATTTACCTGTCTAGGGGTTTTAGAGGTTTTTTTTAATCCCGGAAGGCAAACTACCAAAATCAGTGGGGCATATGCCGGGAGTCATATACCAGTATTTTATTTACCAGTCTAGGAGTTTTAGAGGTTAGTTCATAGAAGTGAAGCTGAAGCTGATGGTGTTTGCATTATGCAAATCTCAAAGCTCGAACTGGGGGTAGTTAATAGAAATGCATGATGCAATGTCTAAACTTCTTATGAGTATTGCATGTGATGGTTCGAATCTCAAAGCTCGAACTGAAGGTGATGGTGTTTGCACTAGTGTAAAGAGATTGATTGTGTTTATTTTGCATTTAATGGAAGCAATTGTGTGTATAACAAATTTTCTTTGCCAAACATTACAGAAAGATAATGCTCACACTTTATCTGCAATTGGTTTTGTTGAAACTGCTAAAGATTTGCTTCAAAAGTTACGAAATGACAGGTGCAAGAACTTGTTTGAGAAAGTCCAAGACTTCTACTTGCAACATGAAATTAATGTGTCTACCATGAAAAGCATAGACATGGTCGAAAATAGGTAGATATGAAGCATTATTATCATTTTAAATATTTCACCCAAAGTATTGATTTTCAATTGACATATTTGGAGTGTAGGTAGATTCAATGAATCGTCAATTCAATTGCTTCAGCTTAATGTTCGTTTGGATCCAAAAATTCTTTTAAATCTCATGAGAGGCATACTTTGAAGAGTGAATTGCAGTTTTATGAACCCCACATATTTCAAATCCCCAATTTCATGTTCATTCCCTTACGAAGTTGAGTGAAGAGTTGGTCAAATCTGAAGACTTGACTTCAAAATGATTACAAGATTGATTCATCTTGTATTGACTTTACCTGTTTCTATTGAAACAACAGAAAGATAATTTTCTACAATGGAACATGTGAAGACTAAAATTCGTAATAAAATGAATGATGAATATCTTGTCGATAGTTTGACCATCTTTATTGAAAAAGAACTTGTCAATAAAATCGATATTGATTCCGTCATAGATGAGTTTGATAAGGTCAAAGAACGTTGTGTTGGTAGAAAATAACCCGGGTAGAGAAACTGACAGCATTTCAGTATAGTCAAAATAACTTGGGTGAATACAAGGGGTTAGAGGCCTATTTATAGGCGTATACAACAAGTCCAATAATAAAAGGCTACATGGGCTTGGCCCACTTTATTAACTAATATTGACGCCAATGGGCCAGCCAGCCCGGTAAGTAATTAAATAATCCCAGACCAATACCCGCTAGCCGGACTGTGTTATGAGCTTGGTCGGGCCAAAGCTCGGGTGTAACAGGTTGATAGTCTTGGACCCGGCCCATTATCCCAACACGAGTCCCCCACTCCCTTAGTCGAGTAGTAGACTCGGCTAAAAGGGAGTAGTTAAGCAGTTTTGGAATTGGTCTTGTTCCTGGTCCGGCTGACCGGTCATTAATGAGCCTTGAATTTGATCCAATTGCTTGTGAAAGGATGAAGTCTTCCTTGTTCCGACCGGGAGACCTCTTCCTTTGTTCATGATGAGGGGGTGCCTCGTTAAAACCTTAGGAAAAAACTTGATGGGAAAAAATTCTAGTGAAGGAAAAAGAGTACACCGGAACCTTAAAATGAAGTAAAGGAAGGTTAGTCCCCTCGGTTCTTGATTGAGTGTATGCTTTATTGGTAAGCCAAGATACGTTCCGGAAAGGCTAGTCGCACGGCTATTTGCCAACGGTGGCGGTCGAGCCGAAGTATGCTCGGGAGAAATCACTTGCATCATTGTTTGTTGTTGATGTTGAGCCGAGGTATGCTTATGAGAGGTCGGTTCCACAGCTGTTTGTTGATGATGTCGAGCTGAGGTGTGCTCGAGAGAGG